TTCCAAAAAAAAAAAAAAAAAAAAAAAAAAAAAAAAAAAAGCCTAAAACAGCTTTAAATAGCTTTTATTTTTTTACTTGGGTTAGGGTTTCAAGGGTTAAAGTTTATTATAGCTTCTTTTCCTTTTCAAATGTTAGGAGGGGCTATGAGGGGTGAGGGGTCTTGTCCATTCAGAGGTGCCTTGTCTTTGAATAAATGTTAATGAAGTTTATCAGATAATAAACACAATCCTCAAATTTCAGTCCCAAGTCTTTCCATTGGAACAGACCACTGTGAAGGGGCTAAGAAAAACCTGGAATCAGCCATCTTGCCTGATTTAACAAAACATCTAAAGTTTAAGAAAAAAGGTAAGACTTTTTAAAAAAGTTTTTCCGTATGCTGTGTGAATAGGAACCCATATGGAGGGGTTTTCCTAAATTTGACTGCAAAAGTGGAAATACACTTTAACCTTCCACTAACACTCAACCACTGAAATGCTGAAGCTATAAACCTAACACTGATTTAACTCACCCTGCACTCCGAGTCTCTGCACCAATAGCTTGCAGGACTCGAGCTGAAAAAATGCATATCTGAGATTTTTAGATTGCGAGATCCCGTCACTGGCAGAAACTGCCTCTACTCTGGAGGTTGAAACAACATATAGCTTAACAATTCATTCATTGCAAATAGAGATGTATTTTTATTCAACATAAAAAAAAGCCTGAATTTGCAGCACCGTGCTGTCCATAGCAATATATGGATTGAAAACTCTGCACTTGGCTGTACACATGCAAATGCCAACAATCAACATGTGTACATGCACGGGGGTATGTGTATGAAAGATAGTCACAGAGCTAATGACAGGAAAGAAAGAGGCGGAGGGACTACATGACAGGGTGGACATGGGATCAAGAAGGAGGGGGCAAGGTCAAGGTTTTCTTTCAAATGGAGGGCACTTAACTGATTGATTGAGTTGTAGGTGGTCTAGGAGGGGCTTCACAATTGTCTGAGAGGGTGGGTATTTTCTGGGTCAGTCTGGAGTTAGCACACGGCGAGAAAACTTCCCGCCCGCCTGCCCTTGTATAATTTTTCAGCAATTGGTGTTATGGTAATTTCCTGTATTGTATGGCTTGGGGGTCCGTGAGGGTAGTGTGTGGTGCTTAATGTGGAGTTGGGAGGACTCATTTCCGGTGCGCAGTCCTCGTGGTGGCGGAATTAGCAGACATGATTACCAGTATTATGTTTGTAACAGTGTAGAGCTCCGGCCGAAAAGGAAGGGAGACAGACCAGCAGGAGCAGCTGCTCCCACTAGTCAGGTACGCGATCTGCAACCGCAAGCCTGACAGGAATTTCCACTCACCTGCACTGCTTTTCCACTCGCCATATGCGAGCATTGTAATTTTGTAATAAAGGGCTGCTACAGCCATTTTATACCCAATACTGTGTGGTCTGTTATTTGGGTAGGGACATTAGGAGGGGAGGTGGTGTAGCAGGGTTGTGCAAGAAGGAGAACCTATGGCTTGCCCTGGTCATGCAGAAGTTCTGGGTGCTGCAACTACAGGCGTCTTTTGTGCTATATGAAAATACGCCTGTATTTGCCCTGCCATATGCCTAAAGTTCTACATACTACACATCAGAACATGAGCTTAAAGTCCAATTGTAATTTCAAGTTCAACAAATAAGATAAGCTTTGGGTGCATAAAATTTGGATTTTTGCCTTCCTTGTTATCTGTTTAAGATCCAGTGCTTGCTGAAAATTCAGCTCCTTTGCAGCAGGCTGAAGATAGAGATCACTGCACTCTGTGTGAGCAAAGCTGTCTATCCCCAGCAGTCTGACACACCACTGCCCTGTGACAACTATAACTCTCTATTCTGCAATGCTCCCTACTTAGATTCAATATGTATGTGTGTTTTCCTGATTGGCACACTATTTGCCTTATTCTAGTTTAAAAACTGTACTAGAAAAATTAGAGGGAAAATCTGATTGGCTTCTAAGTGTGATACATTGGCATCTAGATTTGTTAAAAAAGAACTCCGGCAAAAATTATTCTTTACCCTACCAGAGGGGCTACCCCCACACTGCCAGGGTTAAGTGCTCGTTTTCATCTAGGGTGTCAAATAAAAAAGTTATACTCACCCAAACTTCAAGGCTGGCTGGCTCTTGGTCTGGTCCTTCCAGCCTGTCTCCTCCTCCGCTCCAGAGGTCTAAGGTCCTTGAGTCATCAAGTTCTATACAGTGTATAGGACGTGAGGATGCCAAAGGAGAATCCATCACTGGAGCAGAGGAGGAGACTGGCAGGAGGGAGATCTGTAACAGCCAGCCGGCTGTAAGATTCAGGTCAGTATAGCTTTGTTATTTTACACCATAGACAAAAATTAGCATCTAACATAGTGAGAGCAGCCCCACTGCAAGGGCTAAGAATATTATTTTCCCTGAGTGCTTCTTTAAAGCTAAACTCCAGACAGATATAAAAAGGCACAAATGAATGCAGCGCTGTGTTCCTTAATACACATTAAATGCATTTTTTTAAATGATAGCAGTATATGTACCTGAATTTGACTTTTTATCAGGCTCTTAGAGTGCACTGTACAGCAGAGCTCAGAGAGGAAGAGGGAGAAGCAGGCTACAGAGCCAATTAGATGTGTTGCAATACAAGAGGCATGCTGACAGGAGGAGAAAGCAGAGTGACAGAGAGATGAGATCATCAGTTTGCTGCATCACTTTTCTCTGTCCAGTCATAGAGTGGGGTGGGGTGGAAAGCTGACTTGTAACTGAAAGTGAAATTACTAGAGACAAATCATATGTCCTTTCCTACAGATAGGACAGTGCTGGGTGGCAAAACAGTGTACAGGTAAAGAAAAATGTAAATTCTTTTTCAAACAAAACAGCTTATATATGTATTTCATCTGTGTATTCAGCTACTTGCCTGGAGTTCAGGCCTAAGGTAAAATAAGTTGAGTACAACAAGCCAAGATTTTGTAGAATGATTTATTAAAGGCTTCAAGAAAGTTCAGTATTTTTGTAAAAGAACGGAACACAGAACAGAAAGAAAATCCCCCAAGATTTTGAAAGAAAACATGAATACTTCTGTGACATACAATACTTTCTATCCCTCGACTAGGGATAGAAAACAACAGCCTCATCCTAGTGCAATGGATTTGCAGTATTTCCATATCAGTCATTACACTGCATTGCTTTTGGGTTTGGGAAGGAATGATAGGGATGTATTTAATACTAGCTCAAAGTGCAAAGATATGCAGTAACCCAGGGGTGTAACTGTGTGTGGTGGGGCCCCATAGAAAACAAATTCAGGGGTCCCCTGCATCTTTACTTTTCATATCAAAAATCCCCTCTAGTGATATAGAGTCCTATTTAATTGAATGGATGTTTACAGTAGTTACCAAATTAAATATGCATTCACTTCATATAAACGTATTTGCCAAATGCTATGGCCACCTTCATAAATTAATATATATGGCCAGGCAGTGCTGGGACCCCAATGCTGCTGGATCCCATAGCAGTTACATGGCTTGGCATAGTTACAGTTATGCCCCTTTATTGCTTACAGACAAAAGCAAGATAATGAATGTTTGGTGGCACTGATGGGTTACTAAACACAATTGCCCTTTTCTCTATTATGAAATAAACGTAATAGTATATTTTGAGTTAATAAGTATTTGCAGATGATGATAGTATACATTTGCAATGTATTATCTTAACACTTATTTAAATTACATGTCACAATTTTACTGTTTATGAGGCTGCTGTCCTTTAAGACCAGACTCTGTGACTCTTAGTTTTTTCGGGAGGCTGTCACGGTCTTTGATACAATAACACCTGAATTACTGCCACCACCGGACATAAAGCCACCAGGTTTCAGGTTGTTGAAAGAGTAACCTCCGCTGCTCATGCCTTGTCCGCCGCTAACAAAGGCACCACTTCCACTGACACCATTGCCATATCCGCATCCCATGCCAGCTCCGCTTCCGCTGCTAAAACCAAAACCACCTCCAACACCATAGCTGTGCCCCACTCCACTGCTGGAACCATAGGCTGAGCTCACTACAGCTGTTAGAAGAAAAACAAAAACGGTATTATACACATTGTTGGTGAGTTGCAAGAAGAAAGTCAGTGCACATATACAGCAGGCTCCAGATCCCTGCTAATAGAAATCTATTCAATCAAGGGATGCAGCACGGATCAGATTTGTAAATGCTCTTTTTAATCATGCAGGTATACACAGAACATCACTGTGTAGCTTTGAAGATTTTAAATACTAAAAAGAGCATTTACAAATCTGATCACCTGCGTCCCTTGATTGATCGTATATACTGTGTACTCTATACAGTATATATATATAAATTACATGTGTATATATATATATACATGTGTATGTATGTGTGTATATATATATACATATATA